AATGTAAAGGGCCATTTCAGCTCATTTGCACCTGGAGGCCGCCGTACAAATGACTATGACCATAGAATGACTGAGAAAATAGAAATAAGTCCATAAATAAAGTCACTGCTTTGCTCAGTAGAGACTGGTTGCAGAGTCAGGCCTGAGAACATACTTTTTTAAGTTTCCTTTCATTTTGCTGGAGGTAGACTCTTTGCCAGTTTCATTCCTGAAGCTTCAGCTTAGTGTCATAAATTCACCGTAGACCATGCTACGAATGATTAGCAGCCGAGAAGCTTGGGTTTGATTTTGGCCATGGAGGAGGGTCTCTAGTGGTTTGTAACGGGAGCCGCTCAGCTGCGTATGAGGGCATGATGGACGAGCTGGAGTGATTGGATAATATGAGGCTGTCATGGATCACATATAACATCAACCTGATGCAGTCAATTCAGCTAAACAGCTAACGGATGTGAGTAACAGTGACTGGCCAAGTAGCGGGGCTCAGTAACAGCTTCATGTTTGATTTAATGGTACATTACGGCGCAGTGTAATACATCTCTGCTGCTTTCACACAGTACACTTTTGTTTTTCTCTCAGCCCTTTCAATTTGGAGCTGTAATTGTATCCCAGTCCACGACAGACTGACTTTATGTGCAGATAATTGAACAAAACACATTAGGAACCGCAAGTCTGAGTATCAACTGTGTTTGGCTTTAATTTGAGTTTATAGCACATGTAATGCTCTATACACATCAGAAAATCATGCACAATGAAAGTTTGAGGTACAACTTTGCTATTCTTAGTGCCTTGATTGGGTAACAAATGCAACGTTTTGCCTGAAGTTGGTGCTAGAGAAAAGCCACTTTCTGTATGCTGGGCGTTTAATGACATATCCAGTGAAATTAGCATGTAGGCATCAGCTTTAAGCTTCATCAACCCTCTGTTAATTCACCGTATGTTTCACCTGCTGTTTTTTATGGCGAGGGATGCGTTTCCATGGAAATTACATATGATGGCACACCATAATTGGCGTAAAGCTGTTCAGGGCCGGAGTGTTAATGATAATCTGAAGTCTGGTGGCATTTCGAAAATGTTCCGTTGAGTTATGACAACATCGTGTTTTATGGCGAGGGATGTGTTGCCATGGAAACGGCATATGATGAGACTTCCGATTTGGCATAGAGCTGTTGAGGCATGGACAGGTGATATACAAGTGAAGTTTGATGGCGATCGGACCGTGTCCATTGCAGTACAGCGACATCGTGTTTTACGGCAAGGGATGCGTTGCTATGGAAACGGCACATTATGAAACCTCAGATTTGACGTAGAGCTGTTCAGGGCCGCAGTATTAACCATCATGTGATGTTTTGCAGCGTTCTGAGCATGTCAGTTATGACATCATCGTGTTCCATGGCGAGGGATCGCCTAGCAACGCGCAAACGTGAAAATGGGCGCCGCATAGCGACAACGCCGTGCGGTGAAAAGTTGCGATTTTGATCACTTTTTATCTCCCAGGTCTCGAGAAGCTACGTTCCAAATTTGGAGTCGATCGGATAAAATCCCTAGGAGGAGATTGTTAAAGTACTGTATGTGGAAAAACGCGATAAATCACGTTTTTCCAATGCCAAATTCAAAATTGTCGACTTCATGTACGTTTTTTTCTACACCTCCAAGAGGCTTTTTAGTTAGTCTCTGCACTATACATATACGTAGCAAATTTGGTTGATTTACGTGAAAGTGAAAGTGGGGGGAGTTTACGTTAAAAACGGAAGAGGGCGTGGCTTGGGCATTTCTTTACGCAAAGTTCCGGGATCCATTTCACGCGAAATTTGGTGAGTTTTCATATATGTTCAGGCGGTCAAATATGCATTCAATAATAATAATAATCCAATCGATATCAATAATGTAGCGAACATAGTGACATTGGCGACGTCTATGGCAAGCCATTTGAGTATTTATTCCATATCCTTGATATCAGACGGCAGCTGCCTGCACTAGTTGGCTCTTTGATTTCACTTGTTAGATATATGGTCAAACTAGTTTGGCACTCTGCTTTACTAGTTAAATAAAACATTACACTAGTCACTCTTTTTCAGCAACAAGCGGCACTTTTGTCCGACTAGTGAGCACATAAGCCTTACTAGTTACGCCAGGAGCAGCACTAGTAGCACCAAAGTCCCAACTTGTAAGCTTTTTGATGAACTAGTGGCCCTCTGACCGTACTAGTGACGCTAAAAGTCTTACAAGTTAACTAGTGGGCTGCAAAAGCTCTGACATGTTAACTAGTTACACAAAAGAAGCTCAACTAGTTAACTAGTGGCATACATTTGTCTGCACTAGTTAACTAGTAGCACCCAGAATCACTCACTAGTTAACTAGTAAAGGCAAAAGGTTCACTAGTTAACTAGTTGACGCCTCTTTTGACCTTACTAGTTAACTAGTGGGGCTCAAAATGTTCACTAGTAGTACTAGTGGATCCCAAATGTGCACTAGTCGCACTAGTTGCACAGAATGCTAATGA